TATTCACTAGTTGATGGCATTTATACACTCACCACCTGTCTCCTTTCCTGTTCTCAGCCTCTCATATGTCCCTGCCACCCTTGACAAACAGAGCCTATTCTTAGGTCCCTGGAATCTGAATGAGAATGTTATCACTTTAAAATCCAAAATGATTGCCACTTGTAAAGATTCAAAATGGCTGCACCCTCGGTCACTTTAAATATCCAAAATGGCTACCACGTGTAAACAATCAAAATGGCTGCACCCTCCAGACAGCAGAAAGTCAACAGCTCAGGTTGTCTCCCTCCTTACTGTTTCCCTTCCTAGTCATACGTTACCAGCGCAGTCATCCCTGTAGCCCTTGGTGAGTAGGGCTGATCTTTAGGTCAATTCTCAGGTCCCAACACCACATGGAAATATTCAGGCTGTTGGTCTCATCAGAGTAGCTGACAGTCGGCAGCTCTGACCGTCTCACTGTTTTCATTCAGGTTTTCCACTAGTTGGTGCCTAATCCACTTCTGTATAGTTCCTTTCAAAGCTCAGGACTCCAGGATTATCTTCTGTATCTCAATTGGTTTTTCTTTTCTTTGTTGAAGATGGTCTGTGTTGCTTGTCTGCCTATTCCTCCATCTTACCAGACGTCCTCTCCATATTGCTATTAATGTTGTCATTACTTATATATGTTTGACCCATAAAATTTTCAACTTCAAAAGCTCACTCTGACCACAACTTCCCATTATTCAGCTCATTAGTAATATTAACATTCTTATTTCATATACTACTCATCTTCAACTTCATTTGGACTCTAGTCCCAGAAAAATTATTTTTTTCCTAATCTATTGGCACCTTTCAATTTTTTTAATTATTTAGAAATCTAGACTGAATTGTACATGTAGAAATTGTTGAATTGGAAACAACCCAGGAAGAAAAGAAATAAAAAAGAAATCTAGCCTAAATCATATGACTCATCATCATCATCATTATTTTCTTTTTTTGGTCAGTACAGTGGAATTTTTTAATTCTTTTTATTTGATTCTTTATCTCTCTTTATTCTTTACCAGACAGTTAACTTCTCAACTGTTATGCCTTGCTACTGTGTGCTCCTGGAAAACTCACTCAACAATTCATGCTACAATTGCTATAAATTTATGGTCTCTATCCTTATTTAGTTCCTCAGAATTTTCCTTTCAATCTTTCAACTTTCCTGTTACCTCCTCCTGGATGCTAAACAAGACCTGAAAAAATATAAAGGCATATGATGTTTCTTAAAGTGATGATTTAGTATCATAACAATGTTAACCTTTCTGTAATTAATATATAAATGTAACACAATTTGAATAAATTCTTGATTTCTTCTTTTATTTAAATTAAATGACTTTAAAGTACATATGGAAGAAAAAGTGTGTGGGAATTAAAACTTTGAAAAGAATAATGAAAGTAGATTTGCCCTGTTATTGTTATTAGCCCCACTGAGTCAGCTTCAACTGATAGTGACCCTACATACATGCTTGAGCCCATCATTGTAGCCACTGTGTCAATCCACCACATTGAGGGTCTTCTCCTTTTTCACTGACCCTCTACTTTACCCAGTATGATCTCCCTATCCAGGGACTGGTAGCTTCTGACAACGTGACCAAAGTAGCTAAGGCAAAGTCTGGCTATTTTTTCTTCAAAGGAGCATTCCAGCTGCAGTTCTTCCAGCTGCACTTCTTCCAGAACAGATTTGTTCACTCTTCTGGAAGTCAATCCATGGTATTTTCAGTATTCTTCATCAACAGTACAATTCAAAGGCATCAACTCTTGTTTGGTCTTCTTTCTTTATTCATTGTCCAGCTCTCACATGCATATGAGGTGATTTAAAATACCATGACTTGGGTCAGGCATACCTTAGTCTTCAAAGTGACCTCTTTGCTCCTTAACACTTTAAAGAGGTCTTTTACAGCAGATTTGCCCAGTGCAATATGACATTTGATTTCTTGACTGCTACTTCCATGGGTATTGATTGTGGATCCAATAAAATTATATCCTTCACAACCTCAATCTTGTCTCCATTTATCATGATGATACTTACTGGTCCAGTTGTGACAATTTTTATCTTCTTTATATTGAGGTGTAATTCATACTGAAGACTACAGTCATTTCCCCTACTAGAAATTAAAGCTTACTACAAAACTACTATAATCAAAGTAATCTGGCATGGGCATTAAAACAAACTAGTATATAGGATTAGACAAATGGAATGGAATAAATAGTCCAGAATATATCTAGGTATTTATGAGAATTTAATATGAGATAAAGCTGGACAATGAATAAGGAAGACAGAAGAAGAGTTGATGCTTTTGAGCTTTGGTGTTGGGGAAGAAGGCTGAAAGTACCATGGACTGCTAAAAGGATTAACAGATCTGTCCTGGGTGAAGTGCAGCCAGAATGCTCCTTGAAAGTGAGAATGGCCCAGCTTCGTCTCACCTACTTTGGTCATGTTGTTAGAAGGGATCATTCTCTGGAGAAGGATGTAATGCTTGGTAAAGTTGAGGGTTGACAAAAGAGGGCAAGACCCTCAACAAGATGGAATGACATGGTGGCTGCAGCAATGGGCTCAGGTATAATAGGGATAGTGAGGCTGGCACAGGATTGGGCAGTGTTTTGTTCTGTTGTACATAGGGTCACTATGAGTCAGAGATGACTTGATGGCAGTCATATATATAACATATACAACTATAACAGTAACATGAGATAAAGATGGCATTCTTCATTAAAAAAGAGAATAATCAAGAAGAGCCATTAGGTAATTGATTACTCATTTGAAACCAAATCAAGTTAGACTTCTACCTACTACTACATACAAAAATAAATCTAAGATTATATTAAAGGACTAACTTAAAATATTAAAATTTTAGAAGCAAATTTGACAGATTATTTCAATAAACTTTGAACTGAGATACCATCTTACAGAAGATAGAAACAAATATTTCTTTAAAAAGAGAAATCAGAAATAGGATTGAATTGTATACTATTTCATAAATCTAAAGCCCAATGCTTAAGGTTTTAACTTATAAAGGGTTACAATTTTAACCATGCAAAATTATATTCCAACATTTAAATAATATTAAAAATAGCTCTAGGGCTATATTGTTGTTGTTGTTAGCTGCTGTTGAGTCAGACCCTTAATTCATGGCATTCCATGCACAACTGAATTGGACTGCTGTGATCCATAGGGTTTTCATTGGCTGATTTTTCAGAAGTAGATTACCAGGCCTTTCTTCCTACTCTTAGTCTGAAAGCTCCACTGAAACCTGTTGAGCATCACAGCAACACACAGGCCTCTGATGACAGATAGGTGGTGGCTCTGCTTGAGGTGCACTGGCTGGGAATCAAACCAGGTTCTCCAGCATGGAAAGTGAAAATTCTACCACCAAACCACAATTTCCCCTACTAGATCTATATAAGAATGGCATCTTAGTTACATAAATTATCACTTAATTAGAATTCCTACTCTTCTTGACTTATTTTTCTATCTGAAAGAACTGAGAAGCTCTACACATGGATTCCTAAGTCAACTGAAGAAAATACATCAATCTGTATAAATTAATCCTATAACTAAAACTTAAAAGGTATATTTGTCTAAATATATGTCAGACTTTTCTACTCCAGATAATTTCTAGAACATTATTCCAATGCTTCTCCTATTAATTACTTCCTTTATCACACTCTTTGAATATAAAAGGCTTTTAAAATTCTGGTTAGAAACTTGAAGTAAAAGGTATGTTATATTTAATGTAATGCTTCACACCAAATAAAACAAAGCTGAAATGTATTCTTTGATTTTTAGTATGTTGTTGTTGTTGGCCCGATTTTTAGTATATATATAATTATTATTTGTTGTTGTTGTTGTTATGTGCCGTGGAGTTGGACCTGACTCATAGCGACCCCTCCTTGGGTTTCTGAGGCAGTATCACTACGGAAGTAGGATTGCCCAACCTTCCTTCTGAGGAGTGGCTGGTGGGTTTGAACCGCCAGCCTTCTGGTTAGCAGTCAAGTGCCTTAGCCACTATGCTACCAGAGCTCCCATATAATTATTTATGCACTATAAAAATTTACAAACTTTATGCTCTCATTTACTTGATGCTTTTTTGAGAGGAAAAGAAATGTATGGCATTATGGTACATTCAGATTTGCTCATAAACTTCAGATATGTATTATTTGTGAGCCACTGGAATAGACAGATAACTATAGAACACATTGGAGGTAATCACTGAGATTTCATATCAGATTGCTTAATACTACTAGTTAAGGAGTAATGCTCTGTGCTGGCTCCTAGGACACAACAGAAGTCAAGATAAATCAGGGTTTCTTTCCTCATGAAGCTTACATTCAAGTGAGAAGACAGATCTGAAACAACTAATTATCAACTAGTTACTTAATTATGATTGTGGTAAGTGCTAAGAGAAGAAGTTCAGGGTACTGAAAGATAAAACAGGTATCTGATCCACTGTAGTCTGGAATTAGGGAAGGTTTTCAAGAAGATCTGAGGTTTAAACTAAGATGTCTGGGAGTGAGTTGGAGGTAGTTAGGGTAGGGTGAGGGAAGTAGGGTGTAGAAGTAGTGTCAGGGAAGAGGACAACTGTTTCTAAAAGAAAGGTTTGAGGTAGGAAGTAACCGAACTGAAGAAGATCAGTCAAGTGCAGAGACAGAATAAGGAGGCTGCCGGTGTGTGGGAAAACAGGTGAAGTGAGCTGAGGCCTCTTAGACCAGATTAAGTAATTGAGATTTTTCCCTCTGAAAAAGAGGAAACCACTGAAGAAATTTTCAAGGACATTATCATGGTCATATTTATATTTTCAGTTTGTCCATTTTAACTTCTTAACCTAAACTTCTAATTTTGGTAAGTTTTCAATAAAACAGACTCAATTTTTTAGACAAAAACTACTATTTTAAAATAATTTTATGTGAAGTGTTTCCATCCCCACTCCAAATCCAAGTCTCTAAAGGCACTAGTATCTTGAAAGAATACCATTGCATACCCTGTTTCCTCTGGAAATGTAGAAATGGAGCTTCCATCGATCTGACAGGGGTCCTGAGAAGGGGAGTCAGAGTCTTTTCTATCTTGATTTGTAGGAATATTAGCTACTCGATTTTGTTGCAAGTCCCAGTTTCGAGCTACGTTGTTAATTGTTAACCGTTTCTTCTCCTATGAAAAAATTAATTGTGACAAGAATTACATAATGCAATTTTTGTAGAAAAGAGTATCCAAGGAACATATTGTTTGTACCTTCTTACCACAGCTGGTGAAAATTCACCAGCTTTTAAAAGAAGCTATCAAATATATATTCTACAATAAAATATAGGAGGACTTTATCTTGTGCATTAAAATACCTCAATAATAGTCTGTCATTTTAAAAGTAAAAAAATTATATATAGTACTGTATATGCAAAAGGGTTCATCTTTGTTGTCTATACCTCCCATGTACCTACCTCTCTCTGTCTTTCTCTTCCTCAATGCCACCATATTGATCACTTACATTTGCTACACTGCCCTTCACTTCACCCAAATCACTACTTATCTCTACCTATCTACAGTACTGCACTGTCAGTGAAGGCAAACATGGGTATACGGGTGGATAGATGGGTGGACAGGCTGAACTAGTAGGTATGTCTATGAAGTGGGGAGTGTACCAAAGAACATGTATAGGGTTGGCAGACAATGGTCCTATAAGTGATTTGTATGATCTGAATTCCCAGGTGTATAGTAGAGCTGACAAGGGGCAAGGTTGTAGTCACTTCTTGGTCACAGCCAGCTAACCAGAGGGACCGAGTAGTTGAACCTGTGGGCTCAGGACCATAGTCACAGAGGACATCAAGCTCAATTGGCATAACATACTACACAAAACATTGTTCCACCTCCTACTGTGCTGAGTAGCGACTAGGATCTTAAAAGCTTACAAGCTGCCATCTAGATGCAACGCTGGGTCTCTTCTCATCCAGAGTAAAGAAGAATGAAGAAAACCAAAAATTCATGGAAACAATTAGTTCTAGTGACTGGTACACCATCTGATCTACAGCCTATATGACTATGAGACCAGAAGAATTAGAAGGCGCCCAGCTACCAGTCAACCACTTGGAAGGGGATCTATATAAGAGATCCTGGATACAGAGGGAGAGCAATGTGGAACAAAACTCAAAATCATTTGGATAAAGAAAAAAAAAAGCGGGGACCAAGTTTGCTGATGCAATAGAGCCTGGTGGAACCATTGAGACTATGGCCCCCTAGCTGCCCTTCAGGTCTGGAATTGAACCCACACCTGTGGCTTCCAGCCAAACAAAAGACAGGCATATGAGTTGAACATTTACCTGAGGTAGATACACTCCTTGGAGAGAACAATCATGGGAGAAAGAAGGGCTGTTTATGCACAGGGAGACAGCTCAGGGGGCAGGAGTGCATGGAAGGATGGACATAGGGAAGAGGCAACTATTGGGAGGAAGTGGGAGGGGAACTGTTGCATTGTGGTAAATTGTGGTCAATGTCATGAGACAAAGTGATGTAAACTGCTGTATGGAAAGTGAATTTGCTCTGTAAATTTTCACCCAAATCACAATTAAAAAAAAAAGAAAGAAAGAATAGCAGTGAAAGAAAAAAAAAAAAGATTTATAATAATTACTCTTTAGGAACTTAATCTTTAAAACAAAAATAATCCTTTGGAAATATGAAAATTCACCATCCAAAATTTTAAGTTGACATAATTTAAATACTTCAGTGTTATCTGAAATTTTATCTATCTGTGTGTTTAAACATAGCAAGAAAAACACTGGCTACAACAATAGGCTTGTTGTTGTTATGTGCTGTCAAGTCGGACCTGGCTCATAGCAATCTCTGCTTGGGTTTCCAAGGCAATATCACTATGGAAGTAGATTGCCCAACCTTCCTTCTGAGGAGTGGCTGGTGGGTTTGAACCTCCAGCCTTCTTGTTAGCAGTCAAATGCCTTAAACACTATGCTACCAGAGTTCCCAACAATGGGCTTAAGCATAGCAAAGACTGTGAGGATGAAAAGGACCAGGCAGTGTTTCATTCTGTTGTACAAAGGGTCATTGTGAATCAGAATGGACTGGACAGCACCTAACAACAATAACAACAGACTACTAAAATAAATTGTGCTTGGTTAAAATGTTTGCAGATAACTAGCACCATTCTAGATGAATAAACAAAAATGAAACCCACTGCCATCTAGTCTATTTGATTCATAGCAACCCTATAGGACAGAGAAGAACTGCCTCATAGAATTTCCAAGGCTGTAATCTCTAAGGAAGCAGACTGCCTCCCACCAGAGCAGCTGGTGGGTTTGAACCACTGACCTTTCGGTTAGTAGCTGAATGCCTTACCTACTAAAGCAAAAAACTCCAAACTAAGTGCCGTCGGGTCAGTCTTGACTCACAGCAGTCCCTCCTTGGGTTTCTGAGGTGGTATCTCTATGGAAGTAGATTGCCCAATCTTCCTTCCAAGGAGTGGCTGGTGGGTTTGAACCACCAGCCTTCTGGTTAGCAGTAAAATACTTTAGGCACTACCCCACCAGAGCTCCCGCTTTACTTATTGCACCACTAGAACTCCTTCCTAGATGAAGAGAAGTTAATTTATTATATGCAACAGATACTCTAAAGTTGTAGGTCTCAAACTTTAGATCAGGACTTTGAACCTATTCGTTCTAGTTCAAGCCCCTGCTGATAGTTTGCATTTCCACTCCAGATATACTGAATCAGAATCTACATGTTAACAAGATCCCCAGGTGATTCTATGTATATATAAGATACCTACATAAGAATCACATAAGAATCTGACCCCTTGGTTCAGACTGCCTCAAATGACCTGGAGGCCTTGCTAAAAACACAGATTGCTGGGATCCACTCCCATTCTGATTCAGTTTGTCTGAGGGGGGGCTTGAGAATTTGCATTTCTAACAAATTCCCAGGTGTTGCTGATGCTGCTAGTCCAAGGACCTCAATTTGAGAGCCACTGACTGAGAGCATTAGGGCTTAATTTTCTCACAGAAACCATGTTAAGAAAAGCAGACCTAGACTACTGAAAGAAATTGTGCTAGGCTGAAACATTTCTACTTAATTTATATAAATTGATGGGAGAAAATTACCAAAAGTTATCAGTTTAAAATAGTATGTCAATTAGAGGTCAGTGACATCTAATTTCCTCTTTACAAAGAACACAATTCTCTAATGAAAAATCAGCTGGGTAGGTAATTGACTCCTCCCTTACCTGCTTAGGACTTCTGGTGGTTCAATGGTTGAGGCACTCAGCTGCTAACCAAAAGGCTGGTGGTTCGAACCCACCAGCTGCTCTACTGGAGAAAGATGAGGCAGTCTGCTTCCGTAAATATTTACAGCCTTGGAAACCCTATGGGGTATTCTAACTCTGTCCTATTGAATATTATGATTCAGAATTGACTTAATGGCAGTGGGCTTGGTTTGGGTTGGTTACCTGCTTGCTCTGGAGCCAGGGAGCTCTTAGTGAAGATTCTCTACCTACTCCCTCAGCACATAATAATAATTTTTATCTATATGCAGAATAATTATTTTCAGTTCTACCTGTTTGCCTATATTTGGTTATCCAAAATTTTAGCATGTAGGGATGGCATAAAATAAGAATGAAAAATAATGTGGCCTGCTTAATTAAAACTATAATTTTAGAAGTTCTCTTTCTGTGTTTACCATGTTTTTAATATGGGCTCTTTTCTCTACTGTTTGGTATTTAAATTTCTCTGTACAGTTAAGTGAGTTATATATGATATGTATATACTTTTAAGACTTTTTGGCATTTTACTTATTCCTTATCTAAAGCAAGTTAGAATCTACTACTCTACTGCAAAAACTTTTTCCCCTTAAACCTAAAATAAAAAACAGCATTCTTACTTAAAGAATTCTATTTCAGTTATTTGTAGTCGACCAGGACAACTCAATTCTTAATCTAAGTAATACGCTTGATTTTACTCAGCACCAAGTTCACTTTGAAAGAGGTAGGGGCAGTGAATTAAACTCACTGCCATCGAGTCAATTTTGACTCATAGCAACACCTCCTTGGGTTTCCAAGTTAGTATTTCTATGGAAGTAGATAGCCCAGTCTTTGTTCCAAGGAGTGCCTGGTGGGTTTGAACCGTTAGCCTTCTGGTTAGCATTCAAATGCCTTAAGCACTATGCCACCAGAGCTCCTGAGTCAATGGAGGATACCTATAATGATGGCTGCATGTATTTGGTTTTCTGGAAGTTGGTGGCTGGCAGAAAGAAATATTCTTAGTGATACATAACGCAGTGCTTAGAAAAAAACATAATTCCTTTACACCATTGAAGTTGTTAACAAATTCATAATAACAAGATATCCTTTCGAAATACAAACACTTTTCTAAACCTACCCCAAACTTAAGCTTCCTTTATTTGGGCTATGAAAGTCAGATCAACACTAGTGTTCAAGATAAGGGAAGAGCAGACAGGAGTGTAGCCTGGGATCAGTGAAGATCACTGGCTAGCCAGGTGGCCATATGAGAGCTACAGGCATCTATGGAGCAAGAAAAAAAAGCAGCAAAAGAAAGGCTAGAAGATTCTGCAAGGCACAAAAAGGTTACTCAAAGAAAATTTTATGCTCAAAGACCATGGATATATTTGGTATATCAGTCACAATCACATTTCTAATGGCTAAATCTATTTTCATAGAGTTGATTCCAACTCCTAGTGACCCTAGAAGATAGAGTAGAACTGCCCCCTTAGGGTTTCCAAGGTTGTAATCTTTATGGAAGTAGACAGCCAGGTCTTTCTTCTGTGGAGCTATTGGTGGATTCAAACTGCCAAGCCTTCAGTTAGCAACCAAGTGCTTTACTAATCATTGTGCCACTAGGGCTCCTTTTCTAGATGACTAGAAATCTAAGTCTGTGTTAAAATAATAACTGTTTGAGAAGATGCCAAATTTTAGTTTTGGCACTTGAGTCCATCCTTCATAATCCAGGCAAGGCCACATCAATATCTTTAATAACTATAATGTCCCTTCATTTCCAAGGTTTCAAGGAATATAGCAAGACAGAAAAGAAACAAGACAGCATATATGTGTCTATGTACTCTTCTTGTCCGTCATAACTTTCCCTCACATTTTCTTAATGATCAACATGTGGTACCTCATAAAACAATCCCCAAAAAATGCT